AGGCTCTCCCCAAGTGTTTACAGAATCAGTCCCAGATGCCAAGCTCTAAGATAGAACATTTCTTTGCAACCTTGTCCCTGTCCCTGTACACATTAATCACTTGCTCAGATGTTTAACTGAGTCTGTTAGCCCTTTAATAGAGGGCTTTTTTTTTTTTTCTTTTAACTGAGTTGGCATTAATGTAGAAACAAGTGGGTTGGTTTATTCTCCCAGGAGTTTCTGGTTATTTGTACTTAATTTTTGTCTGAGGACTACCAGGAGGCAGCTGGCATGAGATCCTGGGAGCAACAATGGTCTGAGTATCAAGCATTGGTTCTGCTGCCAGTTCATTGTGTAGCATTGGACAACTCAGTGTATCTGACAGGGCCTCGGCTTGCCCACTTGTAAAATGGAGGTGTTGGACTCCGTGGTCTTCCTGTTGAAACTGTAGTAGTCCTATTAGTTTTACTGTGAGGTTTCCAGGAAAGCAAACACCAAGCAAAAGGCAAAAATGGGAAAGCTCCAAGGCAGAAAGTTACTGCTTACTATATTAAAATTGCTCTGCAGTGCCCTTTGAATGTGTTTCGGTGCAAGACTCTTCTGTAAACAGTGTGATGCTATTTTCATGTTCTGTTTCATCATCCAGTGGATATTTGGATTCTTGAACAAATGAGAAGTTATGCTGGCACTGGAAGGACAGGGGAGGCTGTGGTAGCATCATTTCTATCCCAGTGTTTGGAAAACTGATTGAATCATTGGTTGCTGGTGTTAGCTTTCCTCAACATTCATATGCAGGCATGCACCCTTGAGGCCCCCAGTATACCAGACTGCTTCCTACCTGCTCCCTTTACCTGGGCCCCTCTTCTCTGTCCCGTGGAATCAAAAAGCAGAATCAGGTGTAGCTTTTTTTTATATTTTGGGTTTGATGTTGTTGTGTTAGCATCACCAATGCCAAACAGCTGGAATTTGACCAGGTAGCAAATGCCATAGGCAAGAGTCGTGGGGGGAAAAAAGCATCCCTGTATTCCTGTCTCCAGAAGAAATTTGGAGGATTGGGGTTTGCTCTGAGGAAAGACTGATGTAGCCAGTTATCTCAAACTCTGGAAGATACCAGCATGTGTACCTGTGCCTCCAGCAGCCACCACTGTGAAGCCCATGTGAATACTGAAATGCAGCTTATCAAACTTCGTTACGAGTCTCCCAGGGGTCCCAGTTCTGGTTCTGGAGTATTCATTGACTTGTTACTTTTACAAACATTTGTTGAGCACATATATGTGTGTGTGTGTATATATATATATATATGGAGCTGTGGTGAGGCGCTGGAGATACAAAGATAAATGCAAATTGCCTTCAAGGAGTTTATGATCTAGCAAAGGACCCAGGTGTATACCTAGTGTACTGGAGATAATATAAATGCTATCCTGGTGGCATGGATGAAAAGCCATACAGGAACAAAGACAGAAACTATGAGTTCTGCCAGGATTTCACTTGACTAAGAAACAGGCAAAGGGTCTTCCAGGCAGAGGAGTCTGCATAGACAGATGGAGAACAACACAGAAGGGCACAGCATAGTCAAGGCATGATGCAGGTCAGTGTGACTAGGTCACAGAGTCATGGTAGAAAATGGCAAAAGACAAGGCTGGAAAGGCAGATGTGATCTGGCAGAGCCTTTTCAGGGCCCACAAGTTAAATGCACATTTGTTCTCCAAAAATTTAGGAGAGTTTACAGAAATACACATAATAAACACATTAAGAAGAAATTAAACTGTAGAAAGTATGAGGGATGAGGATGGAAAAGACCATGAAAGTTAGTTGTTCATATACAGTTTATGTACAGTTAGTTGTTAGAGGTAGCACAAAAATTTGACTCTGTGCTTCCTAAAACCACAGCGAAAAGGGAAATAGGCACTTTCCTGTGCCCATATCAAGAAAGCCAGAGAAACAGGTTTGTGCTGGAACTAAGACCCAAGGGACATTTCTCCACTGATTCTCATCAAATGCTCAATGTGGAGATACAGTGGAAATATCTTCAACAACATTCTTACACTAGCAGTTTTTATAGAACTGTTTCTTATAATGTCCCTCACTGCAAGCCAATGGCATACTGCCAAAGTGTAATTCAGTAAAAGCAGCTCTACACAGGACCAGAGCGGTTCAGCCTAAGCCTGCTGCTTTTTTGATCGTTTGGCTTGATGTGCGGATACAATTTTGGGTATATAAAGGGATAGAAGTTCTTCGTATCTTTTAGGCAATCATCCATGAATATTATTTCTTACAACAGGACTCTTAAAAAGTATTGGACAGCAGGCAGTGAACTTAAGCTTCTATTCATTGTCAAAGAACTCAAGAACAAAAGAGTTTGAACCTTGGGTTATGTAACACAAATCCTTTCCAAAGATGTTTAATCATAGAAGGAAAGTAACTGTCATCCTGGACTAATAGTGTAATCCATGGCTCAGCTCCAGCTGACCTGGAATTAGGACTGGGTTGCTAAAGTGAGTTCCCTGACCTGACAGCACGTGTCTTGCTGTGAACTCTAGGTTGAAGGTAGATGTATAAAGAGCCCTTACATTATACAAGTCAAGCTGTGAGCTGAGCATCTTTTGACATTAGCCCTTTTCCTTAGCAGCTGAAGCAATAGTGTGAAGCATAAACATAGATCCAACAGGCTGGTGTGTGTGTGGCATTCACCAAATAGCATGTAAACTAAAAGAGTGTAAATTTTACTACATATAAAACACACTTTCCACATATTTATGCAACATTGTACAATTTATAAAGTAGATTTCCATCATTCTGACCCAGCATCTGATTTGAATTGCATAAAACTTTGAGCAGGACTGGTATGATTATCCCATAATACAGATGAGAAAACTAAAGGCTTGACCAAGTTGACGTGGACATGGGGGAGGAGAACAAGGGTCATAACCTGGGTCTTTTATTTTTTTCTTTCTTCCAAGATGTATCTGACTTATCCAAAAGAATAGTGAATTGTAGGTTATGATAACTGTGCTCAGCAGCCACCAGGCTATATACTGCCAATTGGAAAAAATTCCATGCACTGTAGGGATGGAAGGCTCCCTGCAGTTTAACCCAGAAAAAAAAATATCAACTCCTTAGGCAGAAATGCTAAAGCCATGTACTTCCTATTTCCTGTGCTCCCTGGATGGTCCCAGGTACTCATGGGCCAGAGACCATCCAAGGATTTGTTCTTTCGGTCTTCTATTTACTAAACATACAAAGTTTATTGCCACACATGAGTGTGTGGACGTGCATGTTCTCAGTATAATGTAAGATTAGTTACAAAAACATTGTATAAACTTTAAGTAATCTTATCTGTTGATATTAAATGATGAGATCTTCCCAAAGGTACTTACTCACTATAGATGTAAGGATGAACTTGAACTCTGTATATTGTAATAATTGGTTTTCTGAGTACTCTACTTAAGTAAAAATAAACTCTTGCTGCCTCCTACCTACTTTTTCATTGAACATCCAAAGAGCTAACTTGTATCTAGTTACTTTGGTGTGCAGCAGGGAATTTGTGGTTGTAGGCTGTTTTCTCTTGGTCCCCCCCAAAAATACAAATAGGAAGTAAAATTCAGACATCGATGGCACAGTGCACTAATTATAAACTACTGTCCCAAAAGACAGAATCTCCTCCCGATCAACAAGAGTTCTTACAACAAGAGAGCCACAGGCACTCAAAAAGTTGATCTCAAGATAGCACTAAATATCTCCAGTTTATTGCCCAAGAGGAGATGGCAGATCTTAATATGGCATACTGCCTGTTAACTTATAACATGTTGTGTATTTGCTGAAAAATGGAGACACTTTTGCTGCAGTTACTTGCCAAAGATACCCCAAAGTAACCCCTCCCCAAATCAATCAGGGTAAAACATTCCAGAACATCTTTCCCTATTCTCTTCTCTGTTTGGGCACACACATTACCACGCACCCCTTTCCATTTGGCATCCAGTTGGTACATACTCTTCAAATGAGAGATATCATCTCCTAAGTCTTTTTCAGTTCAAAACATTGGGAGTCTACAAGATGAAAGTAGGTACATACCCAAAGAGCTTTCTTCTCTCCAACCTCCCAAGTTGTTAGAGATGGAGTTCATGTTAAGTCGGTGGAAACAAGACTCTGTGACATCCAAACCTGAGACTGGTTTGGAAAAAGCCATTAAATGGCTCTGCAGTAAAACTGGAAATTCACATGAGAAAGAAAGGAAGGAAGAGAGAAAGAGTGGAACCAGTTCCCCATCAACACACAGCTTCCCTCAGCCACCTGCATGGTTACTTCCTAACAGATCCCAGTTTGCTGCTGTGGGGATGATGTCTGACCCACCAGTGTAGCAGGCAAGGACTGTCCTTGTGTCTTTGTGACCTGCTGCTGTACTGTGACCAGGGCATTAGGAAAACAGGGCCTTCTTAAGTCTTTAGGATTGTAATTCATGCACCAAAGGAGCCTTTGCCTTTGTTATCTTTTTAACCTTTAAGTACAGTAAAGATCATCTGCTAAATGATCTTTTGTGCCTTGAAATAGTTAATGGAACATTTCTGAAAATATCCGGGTCCTGGAAAGTAGTTTCTGCTTTGAAAGATTCTAATTCAACTTACTCATCTTGCCTCTTTTTCAAAAATAGCTCACAGGACAACAGGCGTAGGCCTGTTCCGTAACAAACCACTGTTTGTGCAGCAAGACTGGCTTCCCTTCCCAGATTTTGAGAGCATCTGAGGCCTGCTCTTGGGAAATGCAGATGTGATTTGGAGCACTCTAGCCCCTTGCTGGGCAAAGCACTTACGGGTCCTAGGATAGGCCTCGGGTTGACATGGCATCCTGTGAAATTAGAGTCTGACATTGTGTTTGCTGTATGTTTTTATTTATTTGTGCGTTTTTTAAAGGTTTACTTACTTTAGAGAGGGGCAAGGGCAGAGGATCTGAAGCAGGCTGTGCAGTGACAGCAGAGAGCCCCACATGGGGCTTGCACCCACGAACCGTGAGATCATGACCTGAGTCGAAGTTAGGCACTTAACTGACTGAGCCACCCAGGTGCCCCTTTGTGCTTTTAATGTTAAGGAAAAATTCCATCAGGATCTTATCGTTGGCCTTTCAATTAGAATGAAAGCCAGTCATCAGAAAGCTGTAGATGAGGTCTGTGGATACCATGGCAGAAAATGGATTTGCATCTGTGGCCTGATCTGTGAGTGTGATTTTGACCACAGATGAGATTTCCACATCCATTGGCCAGGGTCAGGGCTGAACAATTTTTCAGAGGTGCTGTGCCATGTTTTCAGCTCTGTTCTTCAGGCTTGAGTCTGTGGGTGGCATTTTGAGTGAGCTTGATTCTCTCGGGGAGTAGGTGGAACAGAGAGGATGATTATTCTGAAATAGTGGGAGAAGACCAGTGATGACCTTATTTTTGACCTTGTGGTTGGATTAAAGAATCCCCAAAGGGGCTTGCTGTTACAGTAGCTTGGAGAGTTTCCACTTAAGTATATATGGCACTATGTCATTTTAAAAAATTGCTGCATAGTATTGTACAGCATGGCTGTGTGTGTGTGAAATGGATATAGGTATCTTTTCAAACATCCTTTCCTTATTCTGCCTGAAACAGCTTCCTTTTCAAAGTTACACTGGTTGGAAGTCTATCAATGATAAATTCAATATTGTCAATAAGCTCATCCTTTCAATTGTTAATACCCTTGGGAGAGTTGTGGCTAGTTGTTCTATTTTCACAATAAATTGTGAATCATACAGACAAGTTGTTTCTTTCTAACACCTGGCTTACATACTCACCAGGAGAGGAAATGTTTGTTATAGAAGGAAGAGGTCATCAGAATCCAGGGGCATTGGAGAGGGCAGCAAGTGAGGAAATGCCACTAGCTGATAGGCACAGTGAGTTCACCGGGAGCCGGGAGACAGGTAGATGGCATTCGGGAGAAAGAAGAACAATGCAGAGATGGGGAAAGGAGGACTCCAAAGTGATGGGGACAGGAGGACTCCAAACTTCTCCCTATGTTGAAAGTGTAAAGCAGACCCTGGCTTGGGACAAAAGGTGTGTGATCTCGCAAGTGTTCCTTGGCCTGAAGGAAAGGGAGCAGTAATGGTGAGTGAGAATTTTATAAGCACAGTCAGTTATTACAAGTACTGATGTGTCTGCTCCTCTTCAAGTGTCCCTGGGACTCTGATTTTGTGACAAAAGCTGGCTTCAGGGTCACATTAATTAGTTGGTAGCCCATCATTGCCAGGAATACCTCCCATTGTTTCTCCAGTGTTATCTCTATTTAGTCCATCCCTGTGACATACTGGCTCTTGGACATTGGCTGGCCACAAGTAGTTAATCAGTTCAGTAAGTTAAAGTTGAGGTTTACCACCTTCACTGGATGTATGCTTGGCATTTGGGGAGACCCACATACATATGTTTGAGTGAATCTCTTCATAAAAAGGTGGGTGGGGGCGCCTGGGTGGCTCAGTCGGTTAAGCATCTGACTTTGGTTCAGGTCATGACCTCTTGGTTCATGAGTTTGAGTATCGCATTGGGTGAGCTCAAGCCCCACTTCAGGTGAGCATGAGTCCCACTGTGGGTGATCCCTGCTTCTCTCTCTCTCCCGCCCCCCGGCCCCCCCCCCCCCCGCCTCTAGTGGGATTCTTTCTCTCTCTGTGTGTCTCTCTTTCCCTCCCTCTCTGTGTGGGATTCTCTCTAGTGGGATTCTCTCTCTCTGTGTGTCTCTCCTCCCTCTCTTGCTCTGCACCCCCACACATGCACTCTCTCTCTCAAAAAAAAAAAAAAAAAAGGTAGGTGGCTAATGCTAGCTGCTACTTGGAAGGCATGTGAGTGTGTGCAGTATTGATGGCGCCATGCTAATTAAGACTAATGGCCAAGAGAGCCATTGCTGATGACCCAATTAGGCAGATTTAGTTAGAGATTATACAGATAACTCTGGTTAAGACATCAATCTAGTTCAATTTTACAAGGCTTCCATTTAAAATGAGGTGGTATTTGACTATAATAAAATAGTATAATAAGTAGTTTACTGTGTCTTGCCATTATGGAAGCTGAGTGCTACTAACAGCCTTAAAAATTACCATTTTAGCTTGATTTTTTTCATGTACCAATTATGTAGATGGCTTATTACCAAGTTCTTTTTGCTCATTATCCCTCCTGTTGTCCAGCTGAGATTGTTTTACAGTTCCCTAGCCCCTTGACAAGAAGGTAGACCTGAAAAGGTGAAGCTCACATCTATCTGCCTAGCAGCAAATCTAGTAAAACATTTTGTGGGGAAGATACTGAAACTATTGGCTGAAAACAGACCTATGTGTTCCCGCATGGATTACATTTTCCTTTGATTCCCTTAGATCCCCAATGTTGGAAAGAGCTAACAATTGGCTGAACTGAATATTTCTTGGTAGGATAAAAAGTAAACTCAGCAGGATTCTGCTTTATATGGCATTAATTTTGTTACATGTAAGTGATAAATCCAACAGGATTTTGAAGATTTTCAAATTACACATGATTTGTTCAGTGATTACACTCATCAAAACAGTTTTTGCCTAATTCTGTAAATACTGTCAACAAAGTTTCTGAATTTTCTTAGAGTACATTATTTTTAAGAGCTATAAAAATAGTCATTTATAGTTGTATCTGAATCAATGGTGCTGAGATTGATAGTTCTCAAATATTGCATAAGAAAATATCACCGAGAGATTGCCCTATGGCTTAGAAGCCTTCAAACATTTCTTATGTTTTTGTTTTTTAATTTTTACTTTTGAGAGAGAGACAGAGCATGGGCAGGGAGGGACAGAGAGAGAGGGAGACACAGAATCCAAAGCAGGCTCCAGGCTCCGAGCCATCAGCACAGAGCCCAATGCAGGGCTTGAACCCACGAACCGTGAGATCATGACCTGAGCTGAAGTCAGCGCTCAACTGACTGAGCCACCCAGGTGCCCCACTTCAAACATTTCTTAAATGAGGAGAGGGAAATCACAATATTATACCAGTAGAAATTTTATCATGGGGCTTAAACTGGATGCAGAAGTTTTTCTGCCTCTTGCCTTTAAGCACGGGTTTGGTGGGGAGGAGAAAGGGGGGGAGTGAGAGGATCGAGAAAAGGAAAAAGGCTAGTAGAAGGGTATTCCAGCTTCTGCTAGTTTATTGCTTTCTCTAACGCGCCTAGTCACTGCCATATGATAAATGCCTCAGTGCACCCTTCAGTTTCTTGCCCTGATGCAAGAAAACACCAGCTAAAGAAGGACATATGTTACCCCCCTTGGAAAAAGAAATAACAAATAATTAAGACCACAGCTCAGAGGGACCCACATTTATTGGCAATAAAAGGCAGCTGTGCTGACAACTCTACCAATTAATCTGCCAAAAGCGAGCTTGTCACTGTGTTAGAAAACAGCACTGGAAACATCCAGGGATCTATATAAAGCTTGGACAGCAGTCTTAAAGAACATGGGCAGCAGTGTGGTACCCCACCCTTCAGCAGATGAAGTAGAGTTCTCCATTCTTGCCCAACAAAACTCCTCACCACGTGGAGAGCCCCTGAAGCCTCAGTGAGGAGTGCAGCTGGCCCCTTTCAGAGGTTCTGTGCCTCTGGAAGGTACCAATAGGAACAATAACTTTTTGGAAGTTACATTTTTTTTGGACCTTGAGCTCTTTCAGGTGTTTCACTAAATCTTCACAATTATGCTACTAGGCAAGTATTAGCATCGTAGTGGCCACAGGTGAGGAAACTGAGGCACAGAGCTTCCAAATTCAGGTCTCCCTGGCTTCCATATTCATTATTTTCCCATAACAACATAGGTTTCCAGATGAAGCAGCAAGAAATGTGTGTTCTGGGCCTGGCTTCCATGAATTTATGGTGTGACTTTGGGCAAATCGTTTAACTTCTCTGGGCCTCGGCTCTGTAGCTAAGAAATGAAAGGTTATTCTTGTAAAACTAAACATACTCTTACCATACAATCCAGCGATCATACTCTTTGACATTTACTCAAAGGAGATGAAAACTTATGTCTACACTAAAACCTGTGCACAGATGTTTATAGCAGCTTTATTCATAATTGCCAAAACTTATAAGCCACCAAGATGTCCTTCAGTAGGTGAATGGATAAACTATAATGCATCCAGATTATGGAATATAATTTAGCATTAGAAATAAAGAAGCTATGGGGCGCCTGGGTGGCGCAGTCGGTTAAGCGTCCGACTTCAGCCAGGTCACGATCTCGCGGTCCGGGAGTTCGAGCCCCGCGTCGGGCTCTGGGCTGATGGCTCAGAGCCTGGAGCCTGTTTCCGATTCTGTGTCTCCCTCTCTCTCTGCCCCTCCCCCGTTCATGCTCTGTCTCTCTCTGTCGCAAAAATAAATAAACGTTGAAAAAAATTTAAAAAAAAAAAAAGAAATAAAGAAGCTATCAGGCCATGAAAATACATGGAGGAGGGGCGCCCGGGTGGCTCAGTCGGTTAAGCGTCCGACTTCGGCTCAGGTCATGATCTCTCAGTCTGTGAGTTCGAGCCCCGTGTCGGGCTCTGTGCTGATAGCTCAGAGCCTGGAGCCTGTTTCAGATTCTGTGTCTCCCTCTCTCTGACCCTCCCCCATTCATGCTCTGTCTCTCTCTGTCTCAAAAATAAATAAACGTTAAAAACAAAATTAAAAAAAAAAAAGAAAATACATGGAGGAGACATAAATGCATATTACTAAGTGAAGGAAGCCAGTCTGAAAAGGCTACGTATTGTATAATTCCAACTGTGTGACATTCTGGAAAAGGCAAAACTATGGAGACAGTAAAAATGTCAGTGATTGTCAGGTGTAATGGGGAGGGAGGGATGAATACATGGAGCACAGAGTTTTTTAGGGCAATGAATCTACTGTGTGTGATGCTATAATGGTGAATACACGTTATTATACATTTATCTAAACCCACAAGATGTGCAACATCAGGAATGAACTCTAATGTGAACTGTGGACTTTGGGTGATCATGATGTGTCCATGTAGGTGTGTCACCTATAACAAATGTGCCACTCTGATGGGGGATGTGGATAATGGGGGAGACTGTGCAAGTGGGTAGGCAGGAAGTACATGGGAAATCTTGTACCTTCCCCTCAATTTTGCTGCAAACCTAAAACTGCCTTAAAAATAGTCTTTTTTTTTTTTTTTTTTAAATGGGAGGATAGAAATTCTAAGGTCTCTTACCAAAGTGCTTCTCCAGCTTTAATGAGCCAAAGGAATCACTTAAGGATCTTGTTAAAATGCGGATTCGGATTCAGTAGGTCTGGGGGGAGGCCTGATGTTCTGCTTCTGAGAAGCTTCCATCCAGGTGATGCTATTGCTGCTTGTGCACAGATAGCACTTTGAGTGTGGAGGTCTTTTATTTTTTATTTTTT